GTCTGACTCTCAGGGTGTCTGACTCTCAGGGTGTCTGACTCTCAGGGTGTCTGACTCTGACTCTGACTCTCAGGGTGTCTGGCTCTGACTCTCAGGGTGTCTGACTCTCAGGGTGTCTGACTCTGACTCTCAGGGTGTCTGACTCTGAGCTGCTCCACAAATCTGTTTCTGTTCTACAAATAAGAAATCAATTGAATGCATAAAATGACATCATTAATGGGTCCACAGAACAACTCGGGTAGTAACATTCACAGAATAGTAATCCATGTTCAACTCACAGCAGCTTCTCTTTGTTCTCCTCTGGGTGGTTTGGAGGGAACTCAGATCTGATGGGTGGAGCTTTATAATGTTGGGGGCGCGGTCTAGAGAGGAGGGGCAGTGATGCACTGATTAACACCTTTCAGTCCGTCCCGATCAACAATGATGTTCATTGATTTCCACCTTTATCTCAGTGATTTGGGTCCTCCTGCTGCTAACTGCTAATGTAGCTGCCGACAGTTTGACGACGGCGGTACCGAGGTGATTTATGGAGTTTCCCAAAGTAAAGATCAATAAAGTCCAGTTCTCTCCTCGCTGTGAGTTCTGGCTTCCACAGCTGTTGTGTCACGCTGTTATTCTTTCCACAGGTTTTCAGTCACGTTGCAACCATTCAAATTATAATCAAACACTTTGAACCAGAAAGTCACACATTGATTCAGACTGTGCAGGAAGGAAAATAAATCCCATCACAGAAACATTAACAGCTGCAGAGTCAATCATCATAGTGTGTGTGTGTGTGTGTGTGTGTGTGTGTGTGTGTGTGTGTGTGTGTGTGTTTCAGGAAGTTGGTGAGCAGCCAAACCAGGAAAACGGAGATCCTCCCCGCAGAGAAAGACGACACGCACGCACCAAGCACAGGACTGATCTGAGCACGCTCAGTCGGACTCTGTAATGAACAGCTTGTCTTTTGTTTTGTTTTTCTGTGTTTTAAATTAAAGACCAAAGACGAGTTGATGATTTTATGTGACCTGCTGCGTCGTTAAGCCCCGCCCCCTTTTGGGTGAAATTTGACCTTTTTTTAATAAAGAAATAGTTTGTTTTGCTCCAATGTGTCGTTACTGTAAAGTCAATCAGTTCCTAAACTTCTCCATATTAGCCCCATTTAGCAAGAACACAGTAAGATTCTGATATATATTTTATAAACTATGTTTTATAATAATGAGGTTATTATTATTATTTTATGTTTTTGCATCATCGTCCCTCAAATTTTCTTAGAAGATGTGACTGAGGCTTGCTCAACTGTGATTGGAGCGCTTAGCAAAAAGGGGTGGGGCTTAGGAACATCTTACTGCGAGACCACAGAAGAAGAAAACAGGGGGGTTTATCTCCACTTCCTGTTACTCTCTGCTGTTTCCAAGGTTCATTATTAGAAGGTCGGTCAGCTCAGTTTATGGGAATTATTAAGGTTCAAATCCCCTCTGCTCCACACTGTCACACCAAACTCCATTCAAAAAACGGCTGTTTTAAGGAAGTACAACCTTTATTTCCACCATCAGTGAGACTCTGATTCTCTTCAGTCTACAGACACAATCTGCTCACATTGACTCAGTAACATCATTAACTAACCTGTGAGGAAGAGTTGGACACAGACACACTCACTGACTGTCTGTCATTAACTAACCTGTGAGGAAGAGTTGGACACAGACACACTCACTGACTGTCTGTCATTAACTAACCTGTGAGGAAAGCACTCGCGTCATTAACTAACCGTGAGGAAGAGTTGGACACACACACACTCACTGACTGTCTGTCATTAACTAACCTGTGAGGAAGAGTTGGACACAGACACACTCACTGACTGTCTGTCATTAACTAACCTGTGAGGAAGAGTTGGACACACACACACTCACTGACTGTCTGTCATTAACTAACCTGTGAGGAAGAGTTGGACACAGACACACTCACTGACTGTCTGTCATTAACTAACCTGTGAGGAAGAGTTGGACACAGACACACTCACTGACTGTCTGTCAGTAACTAACCTGTGAGGCAAGAGTTGGACACAGACACACTCACTGACTGTCTGTCAGTAACTAACCGTGAGGAAGAGTTGGACACAGAACACTCACTGACTGTCGTGTCCGAACCTTTTTTCCCCCAAGGGGGCGTGTCCGACCTGAGGACAGGAACATGACGTATGCACGCTCTCATGAAGACTTTTATTTTCTTGTTGTTGTTGTTGTTGTCACTTTGTTCTGTTTCCATCACTGTGAAAATAAACTGGACATCATGAAGTATTCAAACATCCTCTGTTACTAGTTTACAGACGTGCTCTTTAAGGTCTGTGACATTGCTGACATAAGCAGTGCAGCAGGGGCTCATGGGAATGAGCGAGAAGTGGAACCGAGACAAGAAGAAAACAGGTGGTTTTATCTAATGATATTAAATTTAGCATTTATTTCAAAATTTGTACAAACATACTTAGAAAACTACAAAGCTGTAAAATAAAGTCTTTATTTTCATTATTGATTAATATTCTGATTATTTTATTAACTGATTCATTTTGTCGTCTATAAAATAGAAAAACATCAAATTGTCCATTAAAGTATCTCAGAGAACAAATATAATGTCATTGTGTCTATTTATTATCATTTAAGACAAAAGCATCAAATTCTCACGTTTTAACCTAAAACCATTAAAAAAATAACATTTGGATTTATTGTCTTCTTTAGAAACTAACTGTACTTAGTTACTTTCCACCACTTGTGTGCAAGTTATTTTAGATCCACTTAAAGCAGGTTTCCTTTACACTGTTAGAGGTTATTACTGCAGTAGTGGCGCTCTCTGCTGGACAACACAGGAAGTGCAGCCTTTAAATTAGACTTTATTTTCACTATAAATGCTGTTAAAGCCTCTAAAAGATCAATTAATGAACAATGTGTCCAAAACTACGTTTGTCTTATCTAAAATTATGTTTGTACCCTTTATTTAAAGCCTCAACAGCAATTTTTAAAAGACAAAACAGTTTAAAAGATTAAAGTTTGGAAGCAGAAGCAAAGTTTGTATACATTTGTTTTATTTACGATCCTTTAACAATCAGAAATCACATCAGTTAATTATTATTATATAAAAAGTAGAAACATTCACAAGTGTCCAAAAATAAGTGACCAGCGTCCCGTTTCTAAAGGTGGACGCAGTAACAGATCCCAGAAATACTGTTTTAATATCCAAGATTTATATTTAAATTCCCCTTTCGGAATAAAAAGAAACGTATTTTAGTGCAGTTACCCAACCACCACCTCCAGTAAAACCAGCTCAATAAACACATAAACACAAAGTGCTGAGATTTCAGACGCTCCTCAGGTCCCTGAACTCAACACTGAACCGTTTTATTATCGATAGTTTAATTGTTTTTAGATGAAGTTTAAACTTTTAATTTAATTTGTCGGCAGTTTAAAAGAAAGAGATTTCTGTGAGTAATAATAATAATAATAATAATAATAATAATAATAATAATAATAATAATAGGATTATTTTATTGATTATTGATTTTGGGCTATAAAACACAAGAAAACGTAACATTTGTACATTTTAGAGCCTATTTTTTGGTGTTTTTGTTTGAAACGATGACTTAAACAGTTAATTCTAAAAATATTTCTCTTTCCATCAACTAATTGATCATTGATCAGCTCGACAAAACCTAAAACGTCTCCACGGAAACTGTCGTTCCGCTGCAGTTCCTCCATCCAACCACCGGGCAGCGCTCAGTACGTGACGAAGTTGGCGGGAAAGATCCCGACGCGGCCGTCGTCCAGTTGCCCCTCCCACCAGTCGTACTGGGCCTCGGTCTTGGTGATGACAGTGATCCGGTCTCCGGGGCTGAAGCTCAGGTCACCGGGCTGCTGACCGGCGAACGCATGTGTCGCCGTGACGACCAACTGCCCGCTGGCTCCGCCCACTGACGAGTCCCCACCTACAGGAGAATTAAAGGGTCCTTTAATGGATCCGACGCCATTTATTTAAAGGAATAGTTCAATGTTTCAGGAAACTGATGATTATTGATTATTATTGATTAATCAGTTTATGTATGTGTGTGTGTGTGTGTGTGTGTGTGTACAGTGTGTGTGTGTGTGTGTGTGTGTTTGATTTGAGTCGTACCGTAACTTTGAGGGTTTCTGGAGGCAAACTGACCTGAAACAAGAAGAAATCTCAACAGTGAAACTACAGGAAATCAATAATCAATAAATCATTGTCTGATGTTTTATATCTTTTAGATTTATTGAAAAAATAAAGATGTGATTAATCGATAATGAGAATAATTGTTGATTGCAGTTGCAATAAACTAAACTGTGATTATTATTATTATTATTATTATAATATAAATGTGTTGTAGTCTCTGCAGTGGCCACTAGAGGGAGCTGCAGCCTCAAACCTGACTGAACACAAACAGATTCAATATCAGACCAGAGCCCGTCTACGGAGAGCCTGGCCTCTCTCTATTAAGTCCCAATGTACCAAACACTGGTTGCAGTTCCAGCAGAGGTCCACTGGGGGCGCTCTCCCATCAGTGCAGAATGAATGGGAGCAGATGGAGCTAGACGGCTACATTTGTCTCTTTCACCTGATTGTGGTTGAGAGATCTCAGATGTGATTGTAGTTTTTAAAGTTCAACATGGGTTATAGGTCGAAAGATGAATGAACGAGTTCTTATGTCCTTTAGATTTCTTACAGGACGAGTTGTTGTTGCCCATAACGCGCTAGCATTCTGCTAATGAACGCTGATTGGTCAGTGAAGGACTGATTACGACCAGAGATCCCACTCGATGGCATCGTGGCATCCGAAGCCCGACCACAATGTTAAGGCCGATTTTTTCGGTTCTTTTTTTTTTAACACAGAAACTTTTTTTGTGTTGCTGGTACTTTTATCTGCCTATTGTTATGTCTGTGTCGTCGAAGCCTCGAGAGAAAAGGAAGCACAAAGAGACTCGAGGCTCGCCGTAAAGCGGTATCTCTGGCCGTACGATGTGTGTGACGTCACTGACATTTTAAAAGACTTTTTAAAGAAAATAAGTGACTCTAAACAATCTAACACCCAGCAATGTGTCATTTCTTTGCGTCCCCTTTCGAATGCAACATTCAAATTACTAGACAAACAATGATATCCTGAGAGAAGAGGATTGTGAGGGTATAGCTCCATAGAGCTCCATTCATTCTGCACTCATCCTGTGAGCGCCCTCACATGGAGCCAGAGGGGAACTGCAACAGTTCAGAACCCGGAGGTTTACTGAGAGTGGAAGTTCTCTCATTATTAGACGTTCTCTGATCAGACTGAGAGCTGCTGCTGTCAGACACCACAGAGGAAGAGCAGGAGGAGGACAATTAAAAAAAAAAGAAGAGAAGAAGGAAATAAGGAGGTCTGGAGGAACTCACCTGAGGTTTCAGATTTATAGACGGAGATACTCGGATAGAGCGCGTTTCTACTTCCTGTTCCTGTTCTCACACACACACACACACACACACACACACACACACACACACACACACACACACACACACACACACCTGTTTACTCTGTTTGTTTACACTCTGCCTGTTGACGTCACAAACAGGAAGTGGTTACCTGCGGGCTGGTGGCTGTTCGCCGCTCTCTGCTGAGGAGGAACTCGAGGTCTGGATGGAGGAAGAGACGACTGCAGAGGAAGACACAACTCTGATTATTGATTATTGATCAATAAGATTATCATCATTAAACAGAAACGTTTCAACAACAACATAAAGAACTTTTTACAGTTTGTCAATAAAAACGTTTGTCCTCCTTTTTCACAGCTGTTGAACTTTCTTTGAACAAATGTTGAGAATTTAAATTATATTGATCATTTTTCTCTATAATTGAACCCATAAAACAAATATTTTCCCACAGTATTTGTTGCTTTTACCTTCGGATGCAGGTTCTTGCTGGTCCAGTCGGCCGTGTACGCCTCGGTGTAGACGTCCAGGATGTGGTAGAGGTCGTAGCACTCCGACGGCGGCTCCACGTCGCCGTTCAGAATGGCCGACGCCCGGATGTCCTGTGAGTAGAACCTGCAGCCACATACGCACAGACACATTTAATCAGTATTATTATTATTATCGGGGAACAAAGACACACTGATCGGAGGTGGGCAGGTGGACGGTCGCTGTACGTACTTGCGGTTGGTTTCTTTGCGTTCGATCAGGTACGATCCCTCCAGAGAAATACCGGCGAACAATCCTCTGGATCTGCAGTAGGTGAAAACCGCCGCCGTGCTGCGAAGAGCCACGTCCGCCTCCACGTTCCTGGAAGAGAGAGAGAGCCGTTACCTCTGCACCAGGTTCTCCCTTACTCACCTTACATTTCTGCTCTGTGGTGTCCCACAAGGCAGCGTTCTGGGTCCTCTGCCATTCTCTGGTTATAAAGCTAAAACCTCGTCTCTCTGGAGTTAATTCAACGTGTTTCTGTCCGTAAATATTCTCAGATAAATAATAAATGTTGAATTCTCATTTCAAACGCACAGATTCAGGTCAACAATATATAACAGGAACAAACAGCTACTCTGATGTCGGCTGTTGCCTGCGAGTCAAATACCTGGCCACGCCCACACACACACCTGCACACCAAAACCTGTCGAACTGCCCTGAATCAACGCTGACCTTCTTATTTCTAAAATTAACCTCACACACATAAATCACAACCTCGACAGTAAATCCGACGTTGAACAGACGTTGAATTAGTTCCTGCTTCAGGCCCCAAAACACAACAACTGTCATCAAACGTCTCGTAAATCTCAAAGCTGTAATTTACATCAACAGTAACGATTAGAGGCAATTGAGACAGACAGACGCAGTGCAGGCGCTCACCTGCCCATCGGTCCCACGGCAACGGTGCAGTTCCCGCCAAGCGTCAGGTTCCCGCCCTTCGTGAACGCCTCGATGGCCCGCCGCTGGTTCAGGATGATCACCAGGTCCGACACCTGAAGGCGTCACAAAGAGAAACGTTTATTTATTCAAAACAGTGGTCGTCTCTAAGATGATGCGTTCGAGGACAATTGGAAATCTTCAGTTCAACAGCAACACGAAGGCGTCGGCCTCGCAGTAGATTTGTTATTCATACTACAATAAAGTAAAGCTGTTTTTTTATATGACAGACTGTAAATTACACAGAAAAAACTTTTATTCATTCAGTAAAATATATAAATATACATATAATATACAACATCCTTTAAAGTTCTGATAACCACAGCTGACAGTTTTATACTGTAAAAAAACATTTTTAATAGACTCCGGTTATATTTAGTATTTAGTATAATTTAGACCCCTATGATCTATATTTTTATTTTTACTGTGTATAGTGAGCTTTTCTGCCAGTTTCCCCTAAAATCTAATAAAATAAAATAAAATCAAAAAAAATAAAAACATAAATAAAATAAAACTTAACATAAAATAAAATCTAAAAATAAATAAATAAAATAAAATCTAATCTAATAACATAAAATACAATAGAAAACAATAAAATACAATAAAATACAATAAAAATAAAATAAAATCTGATAACATAAAATAAAATAAAATACAATACAATAAAATAAAATAAAATCTAATAACATAAAATACAATAATACAAAATAAAATAAAATAAAAATAAAATCTAATAACATAAAATCTAATAAAATAAAATCTAATCTAATAAAAGTAAAATAAAATAAAGATGGAATCACTGACCTCCACCCCAATCTCGAAGCCTCCTCCCAGACCAGCAATGCCGATGGCGGACGGAGCCGACCAGCCTGAACACGAACGAACACACACACACACAAACACACACACAGTCAGTTTGAGTATTTGCGCCCTGGGTTTCGTCTCACAGGCTGACCTCCTGGTGACGTGTTTTTCCGTTTTAAAGTCGAGTCATTTATACTTTCTTATACTTAAACTCCAGATTTAAAGAAATTCCCTCGATGCGTTTACTGAGATATCACGTTGACCTCCGACCACATCTATCGCAGCTACTGACCTCTGCCCTCTCTGTAAAGCGTTTAGCACACTGGTATTTCTGCACAGGAGGAATTAGAGAGGCTTGTTTCGGTCCTTACGTCTGTCGGCCAGCCTGGCGATGACGATGCCGCTGCCTCCTCTGGCTGTGATCATGAAGCCGGCCTTGATGACGGAGATGATGGCGAGGCCTTCCGCCTTCGCTATCACATGAGCGGGGATGAGTCTGTCCGGCCCGGTCCTGTTGGAGATTTCGGTGAAGTCTCTCAGGATCTTGGCGGCTTTCTTGGCCTCCGACTTGAGATTGGACGGGATGGGGTTACTCACTGCAAACACACACACACACACACAATTTGCTTTATTAAGAACATCAAATTGAACTTCCCTGTAATTCTTTTAGCCACACGTAAAACTTTTAGTGTCACAAAGCGTCAATGAGCTCCTTGTTGAGTTTATCTGCATCTGTGCCAAGAGATGTCGAGTAAACCTTCCTAGAAACCAGCTGTTCTAATCAATTATCAAATCAGTCATCAATTAATCGTTTCATTTCAGGATTTATTTCCACCCAACCAGAGTTGTTGATTGTTGGAAACACTAACAGAGTCGGTTTCAGTGAGTTTGATTCTGTTTCTGTCCACTTTGAAATGTGTTCTACAATCATCTACAAGATAAAATGACTGGTTTTGTCAATGGAGTCTGGTGGTCTGTTTGCTCTGCGGTGCTCCGCTGCGACTTTCTGTAGGACCAGGGTGCAGAAACGTCTCATACTAAAAGGTAACCATTCTTATATTCAGGTGATTATTGACAAATGAAAACATGATTATGAATATTATCACATTTCTGCCAATAGATGCTCTTCAATGTTTCACACTGCTTTAAAAAGCAGGAATCCGCCATGTTTCTGAGACATTGCGTGCTGCTGAAGGAGAGCTTTGTTGGCGCTTTGTTGGCGCTTTGTTGGCTTTTTGTTGGCGCGTTGTAGCTCAGCTGAGGATGGGATGTTCAGGCTGCCGCTGTGTGTCATGTGTCAGGAATGTGCTGGTTGCAGCAGGCGGCAGGCTGGTCTCCGCCGTCTGACTCTCACAGCACAAACAGGAAGCTACAGGACACAATCACCGGCTCCAGAACCAACACCAGCAGCTGGTGTCTACTGTCCGAGGAGTGTTCAGTATCTGAGCAGGTTCTTCATTAATCAGCTGATGAGCTCATTAAAAGGTGACTCAGGTTTGGACTCACAGCAGCTCTGACTCACGCTGATGACATCGTCTCCGTCGCCATGACGACGCCTCGCCCCGCAAATTACCTGCTAATCAACTATTCAACCCATCCCAGGCCCAAACCTGAGAGCTAATTAACACATAATGAGAGCTCGTTAGCGCTAACGAGCAGCTGGAGCGTTGCCATGCCGACAGCCATGTGCAATCTGTCACATGATATTTCTCTCTCACATTATTGAACTATCAGATCAATAAATCAAGTAATTCCTTAATTAAATACAAGAAAACTAAAAAATAAACGCATTAATTAAAATGTGGTTTTGTATTTCTCACCCGGTTTATAGATTTTTGCTTCAATATGCAAATGAGGCGGCTGTCAATCAACGTTCTGCCTATAGATTGATCGATATTATCTTTAATATTACGTTTCATGGAAACTACGGCCACACGTAAAAAAGTTGTTTGAGTTTAAAGTTAAAAGAAAAAACAGTTTCGAGTTCTGTTTTTAACTTTATTATTTAGATGATTGATTAATTAATTAATTAATTAATGTTTGTATGTTGGCAGTGTTGATCCTCCGTAAGCGGTTCCGCTGCCTTTGAAGCAACAGAACCTCTGACGAACCTCCTCCTGGAACCAACACAGAACTCAATAACAGCTCCTTCATGAGAACTAACAACAGGGCGAGACCCGGTGGATCCTGTGGAACCGGAACCCAGTGACACAGACAGGTAGAGGGACAGACAGGTAGAGGGACAGACAGGTAGAGGGACAGACAGAACCCTCGGGTTCTCCAA